TAATATTATCTATTCATATTCTTATTGTATTTTTAATACAAAATCTTAATTTTTTTTTACTTTTTAAATATTTGTTATAGCATGACCCCTATTAATTATTAATTGGGAGGTTTGGCGAGCAATTTGAAAATTTAAATTTGAAATCAACTTGCACACATAATTAACTAAGTGATTGGTTGAATATGGAGCTAGAAAAACAAACTATTTTGTTAATTTAAGTTGACTTGTTGCGTGGAATGAATTTTAGTGGATGAGTAAAAAAAGTTTAAAACTAATTTAAACTCATAAAATAATATTCAAAGTTTGAGTGTTTTTTTTTTTTTTAGATTTTAAAGGTTTAACTAGCATTAAACTTAAACTTGAACAAATCAGATTAAAAGTTTAAATTTGATTTGATCTCAAAATTTTAAATTCAAACCTTATATTTTATTCAATAAATTTGAACTACTTCAGTTGGATAGTTATATTATCTATTGGAACATACAGTTTTTTTTAACACGTATGCTTAATGGTATACGATAAAAAAATTATATTTTTAATTAAAATTTATAATATTTAATATTCTTATTGCATTGAATTTTGTGATATAATGAGATTTTTATAAAAAAAATCTCATATATGAATTTTTATCACGCGGTTAGATCACATTAAAAAAAATATAATTTTGAATTTCTTATCATATATGTATATAATTTTATTATTTATTAAATAATAAAAGTATTTTTTATATTTTTAAGATAGTAAATTATATACTTTTTATTTAATACTTATTTTATAAGTAATAGCAAGATTATTAGAAATATATATACATTAGAAGATGTTACAAAGAGTTATGTTATATACTTCTATTTATTTTAAAAATATAACATATATTTAAAATTAAAAATATTATAAAAATAAAAGGTAAGAGAATTTTTATTTTAAAAACTTCATTAAAAAACATGTTGAGAGTTGAGGCTGTGTTGCAGTTCGTAATTATAAGACCTTGAAGGGACTAGAGATAATGACACTCCTCCAATTTCCACGACAAACAGGAAAACTGTTTGACAAATGACAACCTCTTTTTGTGTTTTTGGTCAAAGGTTACTTACAAGCACAAGACAAGAAGACGTGAACAGGTTATAACTACACGTAACAGACTTGAGAGCCTAGCATTGTGCCAAAAGATTTACTGTCCTAGGCTAGGACAAGAAATCCAGTTGGGGAAAATGACCCATATATATAGGTGCATTTGAAAAATAAATTATACATATCATAATGCAAATATAAGTTTAATTTAAATAAATTTATCAATAAATACTTTAAAAATAACAATAAGGAGATCAAATGAATTAATGTATTTAAAATAAAGTTAATTTAACTTCTTTAAAAGTTGAGACGTGAACTTTATGTAAAAGTTTGAGTCTATTCTTTTTTTTTTGTTTGTTTTCATAAGTATTTATTAAATTTTTTATCTAAAATAAATAATTGAATTTAATTAAAATTTATAAAGGTTAAATGATTAATTATATTAGTATTTTGAGTTAAATTATGGTATGATTCAGTTAAAATATTCATGCAAACAGGAAAAGAAAAATAAAATCTCAAGCTGTGCCTATGGTCATTTTCCCAATCCAATTCTCGTTAATACATAACCCGCCTTTAGTCTACTAAGGAAAAACCCGTCAAATTCAACACAATATTAAACATATCAGACATTAAACAACAAATCATGTACCTTTTTACTCGATAGTTCAAGTTCTTAGCATAGTTGATCTTTAACACGACATAAGAGCATATTTGACTTTTGACAAAAAAAAAAAAAAAAAAAAAGAGCACATTTGACTGTGATCAAGTGTGCCTGTTCTACATTTCAAACCAAAAGAGATGTAGCATGAATACAAAATCGTGTACATGATCCCATGATGTGTAGAATTACAGATGGATTTGCAAAAACATGGCCATTGAGGCACTTGTTCATGACATGATTATGACAAAGGGCTTGCCTGAGGCAACCTTTAATTGTACATCACATTTTGCATAATGTTGATAAAAGAATTTTGAGTATTGTTTAAAGAAGGAAAAAATATCTTTTGATTAAATAATTAGTTAAAGAAAAATTATTCTTGACGTGAGAAAGATGCCTAGTTATCTTTTCAACACCTTTTTCTTTGTCAGAATCTGTTCAACACTACTTGCATCTCATTCTGTCAAAATCGTTTTACTCCATGAGATGGGATGCATGTTGCACAATGGGAAATTAAACTTGTCTGTGGTTTTGATTGGGTCTAACACTATACAAGTTGTAGAGCAACAGTAATGGTATTTATAGGACCACATGCTATCGTCTTTGGAACCTCCAACATCTGCAGATTAGGATTGTTCGTAAGTGCTCTCTTTTTTTGGGTCCATGGAAGCTCGTCTAATTACATGTCTACAAACAAGTCCATGAAAACGTCTTTAGTTTACAAACCTACAAAACAATGAAAATTAGAATTTGTTTTAATTTTTCCTTAAACTAATGCCTTTACCCAATGAAAACTAAAAATATAAAACCCAAATAACCCTATTAGCACAGATGAGTAAATAAGGTCTGAAACTCTAAATAGTTTATTTTGAAAACACTTCGAAAATTCTTAAAGATTGGAAGGTCAAGTCCAAGTTAATATTTTGGTAGTCCATTCAAAACTTGAACCAACCTGGGCCATATCTTAACAACATGCTGTGGATTGTGCCTATGCAAGCCCACTCAGCCTGTTTAGTTTTTTTGTTGACCAAAAAGAGTTTTTCTTTATTTTGTTAATTAGGCTCTGGTCAATTCGCTCAAATCATAGCCCGTATTTGGGCATGGACAATGGGCTCTTGCTCTTGATCACATATATAGGGAGATCCTTAATCTCTCTCGTTACTATATTGAAATGATTTTTTATTCATTTGAATTGGCTACATAAATTTATTTTGTATTGAAACTTTTTCACAGGAAATATCTATTATGTGGTTTTTCATATCCCAAAAGGCATGTGAAAGATCCGAATATATGGAATTTTGGATTTATTTTAGGAGATTTTGTATTTTTAGCTGAAAGTGGTATTGATCTAGTTGACATTGGACAACTAAAAATAATTTCATTTTGTTTAGTAAGCTCTAAGATGTGTTTTTTGTAAGCATTCTTTTTAAAAATATATATTTCTTTTTGTGTTTTTTCCTTCTCCATCCTCACTGATCCAGTGCAGACTATTATTACTCGCGTGCTTTTCTTTTCTCTTCTTGTACTGGTCCACCTACTTCAATGTTCTTTATTTTTATTTTAAATTGGTCCAAACCTTCAGTGACTTTTTAAAATCGCCCATTTTTTGTATTTTTTTCTATTGCTTTTTCTTTAATTAATGCAGTCCGATTATTTTCTAGCTCTCCTCTAGCTATTCTTTTTTATGTGTGAACCTTCTCTTACACAAATAAACTCGAGCAAGTTTGCAAATAAACTAAATTGACAAATACACAATCAATATGGTAGTAAATCTTTAGTCGGTCCAATAATTCTTGCACAAATATTAATGTAAGTTTTTGCAGCAATTTAATAAAAATATCAGAAATTTTTTTAAAAATACAACTTGACAGAATAATAACAGACAATATTGTGATAGTCTATCGACATGCATACACTGAACTGACTAAATAATAATGCAGTGTCACGTCTTAAAAAAAATTTATAATAGTAATATGGAAAGTAAAATGTATCATGTTTGATAATTTCAATTAACCCAACAAATTTTTAAAATAAAATTAAATAGATTAAGTTAGTTAAATAAATTAAATAAAATTATATAATAATTTTCATTAAAAATTATAAAATTTAATATATTAATACTAACTAATACTACAAATTTATAAAAAATACTATTTATTAAAATTTTTATTATGTGTCATTTTGCACAGACTAAAAAAACTATAATATCAAACTAAATAGAAATAATTTATTTGAATTGAGTTGAATATTTTTCTTTACTAAAATCGAAGCAGATGAACTTAGAAGTATCCTTACGATAAAACAAAAGAGAAAGAAAACAAAATGACCTTAAACTATTTTCCTTTGAGAGTCTGAAAAACAAAATGAAACTAATGGAGAAAATAAAAAGGAGAACAACATATAAAAGTAAAGCACAGGGTGAGGGACCAGGTCCAAGTCAAAGTTTCCACTTTCATCATCAGCAACAAATTCAAAAGTCTCGTCCTTGGAACAGGCCATGATCATTGCTGTGACAGACAAGACACAAACATAGATTCCAACGCCAAAGGCCCTCCCCAAAACCCATGTGGTCCCCGCCAAATGCAATTCCCCCAAGTTTCTCCGCTAAACAAGAACAAAAATTCGATCCCCGGACCCAAAACAATCACGTTTATCATTAATTTTATAATTTTATTAATTCTAATATTTAAATTTCAATATTTTAAAATAATTATTGGACTAATAATATAAATATTATAAATATTTTTAATAAAATTTAAATATTATCAATTACTTAAATTTAAATCCAAAACAACTTTTTAAATGGACATACTTTATTTGTATACGAATAGATATTTATTTTAATCTATTAAATTTTTGATTTTTAATTTTATAAAATAGTTTTAATTATAAATTATTTTAAAATTGTTCAGTATAATTAATTTAATTTTTAAAAAGTAAAATAATATTATTTTAGAATGTTAAAAAATAAATAAAATTATAAACTAAAATAATCAATACTCCCCGTTTAACATTTTCTTTAATTTTATAACAGCCACGAGGCAGGTCCAATGAAAATCATCATTCTCATTCGAATTCGCATTCTCAATCTCATAGAATGCCCAAATGACACGCAAGCAAGGCATTAGCGCGTGCCTGACTATGATGCACGAACGAAACCATACGGTAACCTTCTCGTCCATGGTTGCGTGGGGACAACACGCGCTTCAACCTTTGACGAGTGCAACATTGAAACCTATGTATATCTGTCCCAAACTTCATTGTTCCCAAAGCTAATCACTTATTGCATTATTGGATTACTTGTTCTCATAAATTAAATAGGTACACCGCTCACAAAGAAACAAACACACGTTACATTTTTACATTTTATAATGGGACAATCACCGTCCACGCCTGTTTGTACGCCGGACCTCAGTCGCCGGGAAACCTTCAACACCGACCGAATCGGTTATGGGGACGCTGATTTTTCCGACGAATCTATCGGCAGAACCCGCGACTACACCGCCGACATTCCTGACCAGTGTTTGGCTGGAATCTTTCAGTTCCTGAGCAACGTCGATCGGAAAAGCTGTTCCACCGTCTGCCGGAGATGGCTACGCGTCGATGGCGAGAGCCGCCACCGGCTATCCCTGAACGCTCAGGCGAACTTGGTGGAGATGGTTCCCTCTCTGTTCGCTAGGTTTGACTCGGTCACGAAGCTGGCTCTGCGATGCGACCGAAAGTCGACGAGCATAAACGACGACGCTTTGATCTTGATCTCGCTGCGGTGCAAGAATCTGGTGCGTTTGAAGCTTCGCGGGTGCAGGGAAGTCACCGAGATCGGAATGGCCAGTGTTGCGGCGAATTTGAAGGCTCTGAAGAAGCTTTCTTGTGGCTCGTGTGTGTTTGGCGCTAAGGGTATTTACGCTTTCGTTAATCACTGTACGGTTCTTGAAGAGCTTACTGTGAAGAGGCTTAGAGGGTTTGATGAAGGAAACACCCAATTGGTTCCTCTTTCTATGGTTTCTTCTTCGTTGAAATCAATTTGTCTTAAGGAGCTTGTCAATGGGCACATTTTTGCGCCGCTTATAATTGGTTCTAAAAAGCTTCAAACTTTGACGCTGATTCGTTGTTTGGGAGATTGGGATGCGACTCTAGAGACTGTTGGGAGGTTGAATTTTGGGTTGGTTGAAATTCATCTTGAGAAGGTTCAGGTTAGTGATGTGGGTCTTCTGGGGATTTCCAAGTGTTCGAGTTTGGAAAGTTTGCACCTTGTGAAAACTCCAGAGTGTTCAGATGTGGGGCTTTCTGATGTTGTGGAGCGATGTAGGCTTTTGAAGAAGCTTCACATCGATGGGTGGAGGACTAATAGGATTGGTGATGGTGGTTTGGTTTCTGTTGCTAAACATTGTTCTAATTTGCAAGAGCTTGTGTTGATTGCTATGTATCCTACCTCTTTGAGCTTAGCGGCAATTGCTTCTGGTTGCCAGAGTTTGGAAAGGTTTGCTCTTTGTGGGATTGGTACTGTTGGTGATGCAGATATTGAATGCATTGCTTCAAAGTGTGTCGCACTTAAGAAGCTGTGCATTAAGGGATGCCCCGTTTCTGATGCTGGGATTGCAGCTTTTGCTTCGGGATGTCCCAATTTGGTTAAACTCAAGGTAAGGAAGTGTGAAAAAGTTACTGCTGAAGTTATGGAGTGGCTGCGTGTGAGGAGGAGTTCTTTGGTGTTTAATTTTGATTATAGTGAAGTTGAAGCTTTGGATGGCAGTGGTAGTGATCTTGGAGTTCAGGAAAGTAGCATAGCGTTTCATCCAATGGACACCCAAGTAACACTAGCTGTTGATGTTACTTCAGGCAATAATAGCAACAACAATCGATTTTCTATGTTCAGGACCAAGTTTGGTTTTTTTGCCGGAAGGAGTTTTGTGCCCTGTGCTTTCAGAAGGTGGGTAAACATTGATGATATCTCCAATACGAGCTTTCAATGATCTTTTAGTTAAGAGTGATAATACTTTCTTTCCATTTTTTCACAATGCGTTGGATGACTTCTTCTCTGTTCAGTGTTCTGTTACATGTTCCTTGAAATGTTGCTCACTGATCTTTTTTTCCTTGTGGGTTTATGGCAGTTGTTAACTATATGTGTAGCCAATTACCTTCATTAACAGGTCTTAATGGCGTGGGAAATGGTTTGAAATGGGATAGAATGAAATGAAATCAATCAAATAAAGATAATTGAATGAATTCTTATATTAGTAGTAATTCAAAAGTTTAGTCTTCAAATTTATTTGTCTTGATTATGCAAAAACAAATATATATTTTTATTTTATTTTTCAATTTCGTTTCACACAAAATAAATTAAATGATATTTTATAAAAGTAAGGATTAATATAGGAGTTTTTAAACTTTAAAGATTACAATTCTTGTTTCATATAACTTTGAGGATTAATTTGAGATAATATATTTTTGTGATAGAAATTAAAAAAATAGCGGTTCTATCCTGTACTCCTGAGGGAAGAAACGAAGGGATATCACACCAAAGAAACTATATTCTATCAGGTTTTATTTATCTTATTTTAATTAATCTGAATACGTCAAATAACAAACATATTATTTTCTATTTCATTCCATTCTATTACATTCTTTTCTATCAACAGAAACAATCTTAATTTTCTAAATTGTGTTGAAGTTGTACAGTGGACGGAGTCGAGGACCATTTGAATTGTTTAACATGTTGTCATAAATATAAATATACTTATGAATGGTGGACGGAGTCGAGACTTTTCTCATTCTCGTCTTTGTCACGAAGCTGCTTGTGTTATAATAATAATAATAATAATATAAATATAAATATAAAGATGCTTATGAATTTAAGATTAAACGCTTTTGTGAAAGTTTATGCAAATCTCCCAACGACCAAGCTTACAACTAAACTTTGATACGGTGATCGCTTGAGCAGCTGTTACTCTACGTGGGACGTAGATGCATCGTGAAACCCGTGGTTTTCATGGTACACAGCATGCTTTTATAATCTTTGCAATTTTCTAAATTCTAATATTCACGTCTTTGTCACTGTAAGATCAGGATACTCGTGAAGTTTCATATGAGAGGGGTGCATTATTTAGTTTTAGCCTTCCATTTTATTAAAATATATTATTTAATAAAATTTTATATTATAATAACATATGAGATGGTTAAGATTTGGTGCAGTAATTATGTGACATGAAACAGGGTAAACGGAGGAACAAATTCTCCATACTGGCCTATTGCTAAACAAATTCTCCCTCTGGAATAGGGAATGCTACATGATACAAGTGTTGTAAGATACGCACAAAATAATTTTTATTTTTATTTTAATTACAAGTGTCGTTGAATTACATGTTGACACTATAAAAGTAAGATACGTGTTGCGCCAGTAATAGAAATAAATTTTAAAAAATTATTAACGACTAACACATGAATGTTATTTACAGTGTTTGACGACTCAGATTCAACTTTTGTGTCGCCATTGTTTTAACCAACATGGGTGTTAGCATGAGCAAGATTGTCACTCTTTTAATTAGTTCAGGTGGCAGAGTTTCTAAAACGTTTCCTGCTCGCCTCTTTCTCCTGATTCTCCTTCTTAGCTTTATCTTCTTTCTTGTTTGAACGGTGTTGATAAAACCAGAAAAAAATATAGAAAATTTTGGACAGTGGACAAAATATATCATTTTATAGGGTGATTTTGCTGTTTTAAAAATTTTTAAATTAAGAAGAATTTATTTTGTATTAAATATAAATATTAATGTATTTTTAAATAAATAAAATTATTTTTTATTTTAGGAAGATTTTTTCACGTGAGTCATAGAATCTGAGTAAGAGTGAAAGATCTTAGTTTCATTCAGCACTACAACATCAAAGGTAGTAAAAATTAAAGTTATATTTAATTCTTTTGTATTTTTTTTGCATGTAGAAAATAGGAAAATAGAAATTTATACTTTTAAATTAGAATTATCAGATATATAATTAAAATATATATTATAATATTTATAATATTTTTTATTTTTAGGTAGAAAATTGTATTTAAAAGTAAAAATAATGTTGATATTATTTATTTAGTATTGTAAATATTATTATGTTAAAATAACTAGAGTTTAAACATATATAAATATAAATTAATTGAGAAATGTACAATAATTAAATTAGATAAATATATGGATTAGAATTACATGTGATCGTTACTAGATTAATAAAATAAAAAATATTTATAACAAAATATAATTGAAATAATAAAAAATAAATATGTTAATTAATAAATTTACATTGATAAAAAAACTGCAATTGTTAAATTTATAAAAATAATAAAAAATAATTTGTCACATAATTAAAAAATAGTAAATAATTTAAAATTCTGAAATTAAAAAACAAAATTAGTCATAAGCTAATTATAAATTAGATAATTTTTAAAATTGCAAGAGTAAAAGAATAATAATTTAAGTGAAAAAATGAATATATAAAATTAGTAATAAATAAATTTGAATATGTTAATTTAAATATAAAATACTAAAAATCAAATAAAATAGATAATTAGTAATAGATATTTGAATCTTTTAAAAAGATTGTAGTAATTTATGAGTTAGATTAATAATAATAAATTTATGTGTTAAAACTATTAATTTAAGTGTAATAAAAATATAATAGTTGATTACATTATACAAAATTTAAAGAAATAAATTTTGTAAAATGATATTTTTAATATATAAATTTATTGTAAGCTTTTATAACTTGCCATTATTGAAATATATGCTATAGAAATACTAATTGTATGTAAATTTAGTGAAAGAGTTATTTTTGTTAATACAATAATTCATAGACTCTATTTAAGGTAAAACTTGTTTTATAACAAAATGAAATTATTAAAGTTAATTTTTGTTGCTTACAATTAAAATATGAACTTTATGGTTTATTTGTTTCAACAGATTTCAAATGGCATCATCTTCGTCTCATAGTAGAGTGTTAAATTTTAGCCCTGAAGATGATTTATTATTGCGTATCAGTCTATTCATGTTTCAGAGTATATTTGGGATAGACGTGAATATAGAATTTTGAGAGTGATGAGAGGTCACTTCATACCTGCTGGTATGAAGGAAGTTCTAGTAGAGATTCTTCCTCATTTGACACTAGCAGGATTTGTTGGAGTTGCACAGTTGGCTAGTATTTCAATTAATTGCCAGTTAATTACAACTTTGGTAGAAAGATGGAGGCTAGAGACCCATACGTTTCATATGCCTCCTAGAGAGTGTACCAATACTCTTGAAGACAATGCTATTCAAATGGGTCTTCATATTGATAGAAGGCTATTTATTGCTCCTATAGGTGGTGACAGGGCACAGATCGTTGATGATTTGTTGAGAATTAGACCACCTAGTTTTGCATTTATGGGAGTAGCTTGAAGCTTAGTTGGTTGGATGAATATTTTTTCCATGTTGGCTTGCACAACCAAAATGCCCTTCAGTTAACTCGGTTTGTTAGAGCTTATATTTTGAAATTGATAGGTGAATTTATGTTGGCTGATCATTGCAGTAGCAGGGTCCCAATTATGTACCTTCCATTACTTAAGGATTTGGAGATCACTGGGCAATATAATTGGGGAGCTGCAACTTTAGCATTCCTATACCGAGAGTTATGCATATCCACAAATATCGATCAGTCAGGTATTGAAGGATTGACTCCACTAGTCATGAAGTGGGTGTGGGATAAGTTTCCATTTCTAACTCTAGTGAATCCCCCTACACACAGAATGATCTTCCTTATGGTGCACGGTATGCCTATAATGTTTTTTTATTAAATAATTATACCAAAATATTATGTTACAACCTTTCGTAGTGATATTCATGTTTGTATTGGTGGTTAGGTAATCAAAATTATAGGAAGAGGAGAAATAATCTTACATACTTTAGATACAAATTTGATCATTTGAAACGTGATGAAGTATTTTGTTATAACTTAATAATTTATGTTATAATCAATTTATATTTATGAATAACTAAATAATTTTTTTTTACTTGCAAATTGTGTGACAACCGTGTTGTATGAATTTAATGCATACTTTGCTCGCCATATGCACTGAAGTCATAAATATTTAGAGAGCAATTGTGCCATTTATTTGTTTTCAGATATATGAATGCACTAACCCAACCATGTCATGCGCCAATTTAGGATGGTGCAATATATTCCTCATACTCCTTATCAGCTAGACTAGTTACATGACATTACTCTTAGAGGGAAGACCGGTGACAATTGAGAGTCCATGTTCAGGGGCATACTGGAGCATTGGCACAAGAGATTAGATTAGATAGTGAGTAATGAACTGCAAATTAGTTTGTTAAGTTTGAACTCTCAATACATATGGTGGTATATTACTCATACCAAATGGTGGATGAGCAGGGGTGCTATAGTGTTTGCACTACTCGTAAGTAGTTTCTCCTATTTCATGTTATTTACTTTGTTTAACAAATTGTAATAGAATATGTAATGGTAATGCAGGGAGATGCTAATGAAGAATTATAAATAAAATCTTTGTTTTAATTTATTGAATACCCTTCGATTTTTAAAATTATAGGTCATAAATTTTACCTTACCCCCTTTGCCCGAATGAGAAGATGATGTTTATTATGTCCCTTCACCTTTCCCATTTCACCCTTCACAAGTGTCACCATCATCTTATGTTCACTCATCACAAGACACAAATGTCTCTCCTGCATTTTCATTTACCACTGGTGAATATTATGTTCCTAAGGCTACCATTTTCATGACATTATGTTCATTTACCATTTTCATGACACAAACTCCTTCATATGAGCCAATGTTTTTCACACTGAATGCACGTGGTGTAGGAACTCATCATAGTGGACAGGGTGAGGAGACAATAGCATTGCTACCAGCAAACAAGCGTGGAATTGATCTTAAATGCCAAATTCATTGGAGCCTCTAATGCAACAAGACCTGATGTGAGACGTAACCCTCATTGTGGAGCTTGAGATTATTGTCGGGAGTGCATTCTCACAGCTTATGATGAGGGACATCATGACTAGTCCTTGGATTCTAATTGAGGATATATTATCATATTGTATGAGAGAAACATCGTCATTTTGAATAATTTTATAATTAGTTTTTTTTTTTTTGTTGGTTGTTATTACTTTAGACGATATTAGTTAATGTTATTTTGGGTTTAAATGCACAAATGATTTATATTTTTTCACATTTCCCACGTT